ATTATTTTTTGTTATTTAAATCTACATGTTTATAGATTAAATAACTACACTGAGATAATAAAAAATTAAAAAAAAAAGATAGTGCTACATGTTAAAAAAACAATGAGCCACCTCGAAAGAAACAAAATAGAGAAACCAGGATTAAAAGACAGAAGCCCATAGAGATCCACAAAAGGGAAGGTTTTTTGTTTTCATTCTTTTTCTTTAATAGAAGTAAAAGTTAAGAAATTGAATTTCTCTTTCTTGTTGCAGTACTTCTGATCTACGTAACTAATATAAGAACCCGAGGTGTCTGAACAAGCGAAACTCGCATTTTTCTTATACACAGGCTGGTGTTTCTATCTCTTTTGATGATACATTGCTGCAAGCAAGGAAATTGAACCGAAAATTCCCCAAAAAGGCTGAGGCAGTTCCATTTAGGCAAATCTTTTCTTGCTTTGGTTTCTTTCATTTCTTTTGTGATGAATCTCATTTTGCCAGGCTTACAACTCTGTTTGCTGTAATAAAACTTTGAATGATAGGAAGAAAAAGGAGAAGGAAAAAGTGAAATTGGGAACAGTCCAAGCAAAGCTGACAGCATAAATGGAACTCTGGAACTTAGAGCAAAATCCTGGAGATCTTAAGCTGTAGATATGGCTTACCAGAAAGAGGAAAAGAAAAGTGATTTGGGTCATATTCAGTTTATGATTTGCATTTACGTTCCATGTGGTTCATTTCTGCTGTAAACTTTGATTGCACTGCTCCGAACCGATTCACTTTTTTCTTATCCTTTTTCTTCTAATCATTAAATATCTTTGATACTGCATACACAAAGGAAGATCTTCAGTTTAAGGTATTCTCTCTTGAACTTTCGGTTCACTTTCCGTTCCCTGCAAACATCAGAATCAAACCATCAGTTTTGAAGTGAAGATCATCTTTTGAAACAGGGTAAGAGGATTTAAAGGATTTATGTATAGGTTATTTTCTTAAGTTTTGTCAACTACTTTTTTAGTTTCTTTTTTTTTTTTTTGGGGGGGGGGGGGGGTGGGGGGGGGGGTGGGGTTTGGCATGCCTATGATTTGTGACAAGTGGTGGTATTTGGCTGGGAAAGAGTTCCTCTGTTTAAAAAGCAGAACAAATGATAATTTTGGAACATGTTAATATGTCAATTTTTTGGAACATTGCATTTGGGACAATGGATTTTACTTTTGATTTGTTATATAAATTGTAAGCATAACATATTATATATAAATTATTTATATGTTTATAATGATTAAAATTGTGACTATGTTTTTCAAACTCATTGGTATTACAAATGTCATATAGTAATCTGACTGTAAATTTCAAATTTGTAATTTATTAGTAGTAATGAGAATAACAACAATGGTTTATAGGAGCCGGAGTTAAAAGAGTAAACAAAATCGATACAACTTAGAGTTGTTTTTTTTTTTTAAATGGTTTATGCCTGAATTAAAAGAAAGATATATTCAAAGAGTCGGCAATAGGTCTGTCCACCATTCGAGGTCTCGTCACGTCCTAGGCAAGATTTTCTGTGCTTGGACCAGTTCGATACGACTTTTGCGATTGGACGACCAAGCCTTTTTGTAAGTAAGCATTAAGAAGGGTCAATTAGACCTAGCCCGACCCAACTATCTATGAACGCTTCTAGTGCATAATTAAATTATTCGAAGAATTATTGTTATGAATAATTTTAATATTATAACAAAATATTTAATATAATATTTAAATATTAAAATTTTTTAATATAATATTAAAATTATAAATTTATTGATTAATATTATATTTAAATAATTTTTTATTCATCACGTATAGATTATTTAAAATTAATTATATTAAAAATAAATATCATATTAATTAATATATTTATAATTTAAATATTATATTAAACCTTTCATGAGATTATTTATGATGCCAGCCTAACTAAAAGAGTAAGAAACTTTATTCTTTTTTCTCTTACCTCAACTGCGAGCTGAAGCAGTGCTTCTTTCCCGTTTTTTAAATCTCTGTAGAAGGTGGATTCCATCTTGTGTGTTTATCCACCCTTCTTTCCTGTTTTTCCTGGCCGTTTTTAAATTCCTTTATGTAATTTGTAGCAAAGCTAGCAGTTACCTGAGGAATTATCAACTCCCTTTCTTTGACCAGCACATTTCTTCTATGCCAAATTGCCCAGCAGACAATTAAGCCCTTTTCGAAGCCATCAGTCTTCAGCTGGTTCGCCATCCTAATTAACCAATCATTATCTGCAGTGTGGGACTACTCCATCCATTTGTTGTCCACTTCCGCAACTGACCAGACCTCCTTTGCTTTGTAACAGTCCCTCACTGCAAGCATGACAGTCTCCTCATGTTGTCCACATTGCGGACAGTGTTGATGTATCAATGGGTCTCTTACACAAGTTGCTAAGAACAGGTAAAATGCCATGGTTCAGTTTCCAGCCGAAGACTTTAATTTTCCCTAGGAGACCTGCCTTCCATAACTGTGCCTAGAACCTTCTTGCATTATCATGATTCCCTTATGCATTAAATGTCTGTTGCTCCCTTAGCTTTGCATAATAAGCACTTCGAACTGTATAATGCATTTTTCGCTCACGGCCCCACACCAGTTTGTCACTGTGGTTGAGACGACCTAGAGGGATCTTTGCATATATCGTCTGCCGGCTTGCCTCCAAAGATTTCCTGGATGAGCTCTTTCTTCCACGTCATGTTTACATGCTCTATTAGTTCCGCCACAAATACATCTGCATGCAATCTTTTTTGGTTTGTTTGGAAAGCTAACACTTGGCCTTCTCCCATCCAATCATCCTGCCATATTCTTATTTGTTCACCATCCCCCACCTTTCACTTTAGACCAGCTTTTAACACATCTTTAGCTATTCATATACTCCTCCAAGTGAGGGAGGGTCTAGTTCCCAGCGATGCCTATAGAAAGGTAGTGCCTGGGAAATATTTTGCTTTGAAAACCTTACACAACAAGGTTTCGGCATGTTTTAATAATCTCCACCCTTGTTTTCCCAGTAGGGCTAGGTTGAAAGTTTCAATGTCTGTAAAATCCATCCCTCCATCAAGTTTTGCCATACAAACCTTTTCCCATTTCAACCAGTGTATGCACCTCCCATCCTTCTTTGAGCTCCACCAGTAGTTTTGCATAATACTATTAATTTCCTCACATAATCCTTTTGGAAGGAGAAAACAATTCATTGCATATGTAGGAATAGCTTGCAAAACTGATCTCATGAATATCTCTTTCCCCTCCTAAGATAGCTATCTTTTGCTCCAGTGCATTGCGTGCATCTTAACTCTATTCACCAGATCTATGAAGTTCATTATAGGGGAATAGGTCTTTAGCAGCATTTTTATTTCCCGTTTAAACGTCGCTAAGAGCGTCGGTTATACCTGCGTTAGGAAAAATAATAGTATTTTAGGAAAAAGCATTTGTGCATGAAAACATCACTAAATTTAGCGGCATTTGTGAGTACAAACACTGCTAAATTTCTCATTTAGAGGCACTTATGTCAAAAAACGCCACTAAATTTTGTAGCATTTTTGGACACAAACATTAGTAAATGAGAAAACTTAGCGTCAAGTGTCTCTAAATTAAGAAATTTACTTTTTTTTTTTATTTCTTTCAATATGCATTACTATAATTAAATAAAAAATAGATAAATATTTGAATTTAAATTCATAAACTAAATATTATAAATATTTAAATATCTAAATACATAATTTGTTCTAGTATGCATGCAATACAAAATTTAATATAATAACATTCAAATTGTTTTAGTACATTAACTAGAAATTTAAAATATATGAAATTGATGACCACTTAGACTTGAAGCAGTGCTATTTGATGAATGATTTTTTTCACTATGCTCACTAGCGTGCTCAAGAACTATTGAATAAAATAAAACAAGTTTTTACATTTTATAATAAGCTATTTATGATATTAAAAAATATAAATACTAAATGCAAAATGCAAAATGCAACTAAACTTGCAAAACTAAAAATATAAAGCTATTATAGACAAATCGTGACTTCATGAACTAGAACAAAATCTGAATGGCAACAAAGTACATGAAATCAAACTTAAAATTGCAAAGACAAGTGAAGAACTAAAGTAAGAACAAGTTTGAACTTCCAATGTGAAGCAAAAAATGCAAAAACTCAAAATGCAAGTTGAAACCGAAAATGTAAAGAAAATCTGAAATTTGAATTTGAAGCTACTGATCTAGGTCTAAATGATGCAAAATTAATGGAGCATGAGCTGGAAATTAAAAGAGCATGTATAGAACTACAATAGAAACTAATTTGGAAGATCAGAAACTGAAGAAAAATCACAAAAAATTACTAAAACAAATCAAAACAGAAACTAAGTTGCATAAGAATTTTACTAATTCAAGGAGAGAAAAAGCTAGATTTGGAAACTCCGAAAGAGAATGAACTAATTGAGCTAAGGTAAGATTCATTAACAAGTTTACAACAAAATTCAACAAAAAAATAACATCAAATAAGAAGAAATCTATCTCATTGAACTAACAACTCAAACAGTACACAAATATGAAAAAACAGAGCTTGTTCAAAGAAATCTATCCAAACATTAGGTAAATTCATGAAAATAAATGCAATCAATTGAAAACTAACAACTAAACATATAAATCTAAGACTGAAGTGAAAAAGATGCAAACCAAATGCCAAGGAGGAGAGTATATCCTTGTTATGTTGTGACTCATGCAAAGAACTAATCTGTCAACTGAGTTTAGGCATGACTTTGGAGAATTTTCTGCACTTGTGCGGATGGAATTTGAAGCTAATTTTTTGTAAAATTAAAGATCTATGAGTTAGGAATCTAACAAAAAGCATTTGCCTCAAAACAAGTTAGAATTCATCAAAAACTGATCCAAAAACCACAAAGAGGTCAGAACTGCGAATTTCAAAAGGATCTAATCTGTCAACTGAGTTTAGGCGTGACTTTGGAGAAGTTTTTGTACTTGTGTGGATGGGATTTGAAGTTAGTTTTTTCCAGAATCAAAGATCTATTAGTTAGGAAACTAACAAAAAATTTGGCTCAAAACAAGCTAAAATTCATCAAGAACTGATCAAAAAACCACAAAGAAGTCAAAACCGCGAATTTCAAAACAAATTTGAAGAACACATGAGTTCAATCGAAATTGAATGCAAAATGTAAGAAACTTAAAATTTCATTAAGAAAATCTGAAAGTACATTGAAAATTGATGCAAAAAAAAGTAAAATTTGGATAATTATCACAATAAAGTTCTTATGGTTCATAACTGCAACACATTAGCATCAAACGTAAACATAACAGCCTAATAATCAAAATGCATGAGCTTAAAAAGTACCTATGATTCAATAACAAAGGAATCTATCTAAAGCTAGAGTCCTACTATAAAAAAACAAAAAATATTGAATTCCTTTAACAAGATCATGTATGTATGTATGTATGTATATTAAACTAGTAATATGATTAGATTACATATGCTGACACAAGTAAACATCCAAGGAACCTTATTTTTTAGCTATTGGGCTTGTGATAATTCTATTTTTTATAGAATTATCATGAACTTATTGTATAAATTAACCTGGGCCAGTTTAAATTTTATAAATGTATTTCAAATTAACCTGATTGTCTATTTCTCTTGACTCATGATGTTCTGTCCCTACCACATAAAGGCCACCAGCTGCCACAACCTGCAATGACTTAGAAATTAAGAAATTGCAGGTAACGCTAAAATCAATTAAAAGTTTATTCAGGAGGGAAATGTGAACCTGTTCCTCTCTTCTTCAGTGTAGACCTTATATTCCTTTACAATTTCTAAAAACGCACTTCGCAGCTTGCCTCTAATTTCATCCTGTGTAGGTCAGTGTAAATAAAAAAGTAAAATAATTACTGTTTGGTAGTGCATCTGATACATGCTATTTGGTAATTTATCAAAGGATTCAATAATTCTTAACAGGAACAAGGAGATTCAAAAGTGAACAAGTCATATATACGTGCAGGAAATTCTTGAGTCTATAGTACACCTTTTCACAAGAATAAGACAGGCGCTCTTCAGCTGTTAGCTCACTTAAAGATTGCTTGCCCCAAGTTTTGACAGCCAACTCTACAGCTTCCTCGATTAACTAGGTATTATTGCTGGATAGCTTGCATGGGAATAACTTCTCATTAACCTGGAATATTAAGTAATAGTTAGCACCGACTAACAAAAATAAAACTAGAAGTCCAGAAAACAACAACCTTATTCTGAATTAAATTCATCTACCAAAACCAAAATTGGTTTCATATAACAATTCAGAATAAAACCTTCCATGTTTTCATTGGAGGAGGTTTTTTCACTGAGACAAAGACTCCTTCAGCTGGCTTAACAACTCTGCAACATTTATACATATTTAATGTCAATGTAAACCACTTTCCATGATGCAAGTAGCCATTATAAGGCAGAGCCCAAAAGAGCATTAACTTAGATACTATTATAAGTAGAATGAATCTAATGAAATATATGCATGCACCTAAAAGGAGTACATAGTGATCCATGAGAAGAACAGAATCTAGTGCTTAAAAACCATAACAATGTGTTCCAAGTTCTAACACAGAATGTAAAAATCACAAAGCAAAGATATTAGTTACTAGAAAAGTTTCACTTCCCATCATGTTAGTGGACAATAGTAAAAGGCTAATAAAAGTACCAATCAGACCTTCCACAAGAATGCCAAGTGTTTTGTCCTGAGGCGCTTAGCACCAACAAAGACCTAGATGCGGAATTAGTCACTTAAGTAGAAAAATTATTGAGTTCACTACCAAAATAGTTTACTTAAACAGGTCAATAGAGATGATGCTTCAAAATTCAAATACTAAAGAGCTTTCTGACAGATCGTAAAAAAAAACAAAATCAAAATGATCACTTATGCAGATAAAACCCACAAACAATAGTGAAATTCACAAAAACTTAGAATGAAAAAAAATTAAGTTCATATGGCCACACATAATATGGTGGTAAGTACCTCAGCATGTAAAGTTACCAAAGAATGTAATAACTCAATAGCTGCATCTCTCACACCTCGAAGATACGAGTAATTCATGTTATTAATGCTTGCTAAGCTAACTGAAAGGGAAAAAATTGATAACCAATCATGAAATCACAAATTCTTTACTTTTATTGAAGGTGCTGATCCCCACTGAACACCAGAATCTAACAAATAATTCACAAAGTCCAAGAACACCATGGTACATGTTCCATTGTTGATGGACAGTGCCATTTTTTGTTTTCTTGTTAACAAACAATGTTACTAGAAATAACTCACAAAAAACTTCAATATTCAAACACAACTGGGATATTGAGCAATAAAACTAGTTAATTATGGCTTCCATGTCAGATTTAATTTGAATATATAACTTGAAATTAATACGTAACCTTGTTAAAATCCTCTAACATCTAAAGACTTTCACACTTGGAGAAAAAAAATCATGTACCAAAAAGGAAATGACCAAGTATTAGCCATCAACTGTCCTTATGAACATTCTTTTAATACTAGTTTTATATTAATCAGGATTTGGGAAGGCTACTAACAAGTCTGACCTGGGTAATAGACAAATGTTAATATGACAAGGATGGACTACTGCAAGAAAACGGCATGAAAAAAAAATTTAAAAGAATTTGTAATTAAATAATCCAAATCATAAAATTGCATTAACTTAAAACCCAAGTCAATAATTACTTAACCCAGATTCTTTCCCTTCCTCCCAATTTCACTATGATCTACCAAACAACTATTGAATCGCACAATTTTCATGTTACCTTTTGTTTTGTTTTATCCTTCACTCCCGTTAAACAGTGTTTCAATGAAAAGTAGAGAAAATTTGATGCACACTTTAATAATTGATACAAACCACCAAAATCAATAGAATGCATGAACAAAAATTAAATCCATAATCATTTTAACCAACAAAAATTTAAAAACCTCAATTTACATTAAAACCCTAAAACCGAAAAAGAACAAGGAAAGGTCTTACCGAATAAGGAAATCGACGGAGAAACAGCAGAGACTGAGCTTGAACCCATCGGCTGAGAAAGGAAACCTAACGAGAAATAAGACCACCAAACAAGAAAACCCAACGGAAAAGTAACCAGTGGAGAAGGAAACCTAACGGAAGAGCCACCACTAGAAAAGGAAACTGAACGGAATACTCACAGACGAAGAAGGAGATCGAACGGAGAAAATGGGCTCGATGGAGGAAGAATTGTTTATGAGAAAATACTTTTGACCGAATGTTTCTGGTAAACAGAAAGGAGGGGCTAGTTGGAATTTAGGGGCACTTAATGGCGTTTGCAACTTCAAACGTCACTAAAGGTTGTATATGCGCTTTCCTACAGCAACGCCACTAAAGGTTATCTACTAGTGGTGTCTACTAAAACAAGCGCCACTAAATATAATGACTGTTACAAACTTTGTAAAACTATTTTGTGGCGTTTCACAATGTAAACGCCGTTAAAGACTGGTAAATAGCCGCGTTTAATGTAAAACGCTGGTAAATAGCGGCGTTTAACAAAAATTGATATTTTCATTTTAATTTATTTTGAAAATTTTTTAAGATATTTATGTCTATAAATGCTAATTAAGTATAAAATTTTGTGCATAAATGTTGCTATTTAAAAATTTAATAACGTTTGGATAAAAAATGTCATCACCTTTTAAAAAATATGAAATTTTGCAATGTTTATTAATGAAATGCCATTAAATAAATGCATCATTTACCCATTCTCTAGTAGTGGGTCTTCCTGTTGTATCTTCCAACTATCGATGGCAACGCCAAGTACTTTTTGGGATTATTAGTATCTTGAACACCGAAGCATAGCTTAACAACCCCTTTTGCATCATCAGTAGTGTTTGCACTGAAATAAAGTTGCGATTTAACCAAATTCATAACTGTTCAGAAACCTCTCCATAGGCCTTAAGAATGTGCTTCACCCTATTGCTTTCTTGTTAGTTTGCTTTAAAAAAAAAAGCAAGCTGTCAGCCTCGAAAAAAGTGGTTGATTCTAGTATCATGTTGGATTGTTTTCACACCACTTAACCTTCCTTTCCTCTGGTATTTCGACAGAAGTGATGAAAAGACCTCAGTAAAGAGTAGAAAAAGATATGGCGATAAGGGATCAACCTCGCGCAACCCACGGCTTGGGTAGAACTTATCCGATACAACACCATTAACTATAATAGAGTATGATACTGAACTTACACATTGCATGATCATGTGGTTCCATCTGCCATTGAAGCCTAACTTTCCCATCATCGATTTGAGGAACGGCCACTCCACTGTGTCATAGACCTTACTCGTACGAGTTTAAGGGCTGCATACCCTGTCCTACCTCTCTTTTTCGATTTAAAAAAATGCAGCAACTCATAAGCAATTAGCACATTGTCATTTATCAATCTACCAGGGACAAAAGTGCTCTAGAACTCACTTATACAATGAAGTAAAATATTTTTCAGCCTATTAGCTAGAACTTTAGCTATAAACCTATAATTTTATAGCTAATGTTATAGAGATTGATTGATCTAAAATTATTGATGGATATGGTATTTTTCACCGTTGGGACGAGAATAATATTAGTAGAATTGATAGCCTGGATGTCCCCTCGGCCATTCAAAAAAGACAGACAAATTGCAATGACATATATATATATATATATGCATTATTTAAAAAAAATCTATTTTAGTATATAACTTAATGTATAGAATTCATGATATACAAAACATATTAATGTTCATATTATCAAAACAATAAATTACAGCATTTGATTCAATTATTAACAAAATAAAATAAAATTTATATCAGTTTATATATAAATTAATGTATAGTAATCCATGATATCAAAAATATTTTAATGGTCATACTATTAATATTGGTCCCGAGTACATATTGTTAGAGAGTTGAACAGCACTTTTGTAGATAATTAAAAATATATATGAAACTCGTGTTCAATATTCTATATCTATATCTATATTTATATATATATATATATATAATTTTATGTAGTTATCTTTAAAAGATAGTATTCAACAGATTTAGAGATTCAAATTTCAATACATGTAACCCCTTCATTACAAGAAAACAAATTTTCAGCGATGGAAAATTACCGACAAAAGGTTTTCATTAGTGATGAAATACTTTTAACAATTATTCACTTTTTGACGAATTAAAACCAACAAAAATTCCATCAATAAAATATTTTAGTGACAAAAACTAAACTTTTAGCGATGAAATTTTTCATTATCAAAAGTTTAATTTCTATATTGCTTTCCCTATCCACCTTTCTATAATTTTTTTTTTTTTTTGAAACTTAACTGCAACAATAAGTAATTTAAGCAGAGAATAGAAATCACCAAGTACTTGATTAAATTTAAAAAGATGCAGATTTATTCAATACTTAACCAAAAATAAATATCATCACAACAACATCAATAATAATCTTTAATACTAACTAAACACAAAAAATACATCTTGTAACAATTATAAGCCCGGCTGTGCAAGACAGGCATTTTTCTAGTGTATCTTATTATATAGGTGATTGCCAAGTTATAACGAAAGATGTGATATCAATCTAAGTAATTGTATATATTAATATTATTTGCATCAAAAGGTTATTTTAAATTTTAGAAAAAAATATCTAGTTTATTGAATCAAAAGGCTACGGTGAAAAGTAACAATTATATCATGGTTTGGGGTTGGGATGGTAATTAAAAATGCTGTGTTTTCCTTTTTATAAAATCCTACTTTTGTTAGCACCCAAAAAAAAAAATCCTTCTTTTGTTGTTTTATTTGATGCCACCAGGATTTAAAGGGGATTTATTTAAATATAAGCATTGATATGATAATTTCCAATGACTTATATCCGTAATTTTATGAATAATAAATCAGAATATTTTATTTATAGCCATAATTATAGTCATAATATGTGAACGAAGATCTAATTAATTTTTCCTCCATAAAATTTCAAATGGAACTCAATTCTATTGTCCTGACAAATAGTTGGGAGAAACCATTGAAAGCTTAAGGTAAATTTCTTCTCTGCCCGCTTTATTACATTGTCTTCTTTTTATGGCAAAACTTTGTTTAATTGCTAGCACCATTTTTTTCCTTCATTTTTCTTCCTTTCTTCTGATTGTTATTTTGTTTGACAACGTAACCTTAATTCTTGTAAAAAAAATTGTTCAGTGAGCTTTCTGGTTTGTGATTTTTAGAGTTGCTTTGTGAACTTCATAACAAAATTTAAAATAAAAAATTAGTATTGAATGAACTTTTTGATGCCTTGATTGATGCAAATCACCTTCAGATTCGCTAAGAATGTGGCCATCAATTTGTCCAATGTATAGGATTAAATTTGTCAAATTTTCTTTTGTTGTATTATACTAAACTTTAGAGTATTAATATAATACAACAGTGAACAAATATAAAATAAATGCTTGAGCTCATGACCTTGAGCTCGGGTCATGTCCTGTCGGTCCAGACCCGTTAAGCTAAGCTTTTCATTGTCAATAGCATTTGACTTGACCGTGGACATATTCCTACTCATTGGTATTGTAGAATGTCATTTATTGGTGCAGAAAGCTTGGATCATATCTGACTTCGCCTCCATGGAAAGGACCAAGCTAGGTGTAACATAGTCTTATACCTTATCCTAAAGGTTTTCGAATGGCATTAGGATCATGAATTTGAAGACAAAAACTCGAGAGTCAAAAGAGCTATGAGTGTGTAATTGAACTCGAACCTGATAATGCACGAGGAAAAGATTGACTGAGTACGAATTTGATGCACAAATGTTTGACCTAAAATCATTGCTTTTATACGTCAGCAACTTCTTGCGGATCTGTAATTATTTTGTCCGTTGAGAGTAAACTACAAATACCCAACCATTACCAAGAAGAGGTTTATTATTGTTATACTTTTATCGACGAAATTTTTTCATTATTAATTATCAATGAATTGTTGACGGAATATCAACGAAATTTTCGAAGTACTTTTATCAACAGATAATTGATGAAATAAAATCCATAAATAATTTGTTGTTAAAAGTTTGATGTGAATTGTTGTTAATTTTATCGACAAATTTACTGATAAAAATTAAATTCGTTGCTAAAAAAATTCAAAAAAAATTTTTTTTTTTGACATTATTGAAGGAAATCCCATCAGTAAAACTGTCGATAATAGTGTTTCAAAAAAAAATTTATTATCGACGGAATTTTAGTTGGTAAAATTGTTGCTAAAATTAAAAATTTCAAAACCCCTTATGGTTGACCCCTCACTTTTCCCCCAAATTTCCTAACTTTTAATCCCTTTCCTCCTTCCCTCCCTTCTACTTCCCCACTCTCCCCCTTTTCCCTCCCTCTCTCCCCGTCGTCACCTTGTCTCTCCCTCCATCTCTTCTCGCCGCCACCTTGCCACCAATGCTACAACTTTGTCCCCTACAGTTTTTTTTTTAATGAGTTTATTTTAATTTGTTTTTTGTTGAGTTTGTTTGTTGAGTTTTGGGTTTAATTTTTTATTATAAATTTGTCGAAATTTATTTGGGTTTTGATTATCAATGTGTTGACTTTTTGTTAGAAATTATTTGTTAAAATTTATTTGGGTTTTGGTTACCAATTTATTGAGTTTTTGTTGGTTTTATGTTGAAATTCGTTTAGGTTTTGGTTATATATTTGCTAAAATCTATTGGTGATATAAGCTGGATTTTTTGTTGAGCATTAATATTGAGTATTGTTAATTTTTGTTTGGATTTATTTTTAGTATTGGTTTTAGGATTTTTTTTATTTGTGAAAATTTTGTTGACATTTGTTGGGTTTTGTTATATATTTATTAACTTTTAGATGTATAAGATTTATGATTGTTTAATTTAGTAGGTTTGATGTTTTTTAATATTTATATATATTTGTACAGATGTTTGATATTTAATACTTTCCAGATTTTAATAATAATTATAGAAATTAAAATTATTTATATTAATTTGAGGTTTTAATTTATATATTATTAATAGCTATCTCATTTTGAAGTAAGTTATTTATTATTAAGATTTATATTTATTTTGAAATAGTTTATATATTTGATAGTTTAGTGAAATTTATATATTACTAATTATTGAAATATTGTGGTTTTATTGTATTGATCAAACTTAATATAAATAAATTAAATTGTTCTATTTTATTTTTCTTTTTCATAATCTATCCGTGAATGTGTATTATGAAAGCAGGTTTGGTAGATGTATATTCCACAATGAATATGATTTTTAATTCATTTTCACCATACTAACTTGCTTAACTTTTCTATTTCAACTATGTTAAAAGTAGAACAAGTTTTGTACATAGAAATGTCTTAATCAGATAAAATCTTCGCAAAACCAACAGAATTGGACTAAGAAGGCCAAGATCGAAGGTAAAATTTTGTTATTAAAACCAATAATATTTTTTCGTGAATGTATTATCTTGTAGTATGTATGATGAATTTTTGCAAAATCATTTGTGCCATAGATGGATTATTTGTTAAAGTAGACCA